GGTCCCTGGGGCGGGGAGGTGCCCCCGGCGGGGTTTTTGTCCTTGCAGCCGTACAACGAGGGGCCTGACGAATTGGGAGTGGGCCGCGCTGCCCCTCCTCAACTAAATCAATCTCAGACAATCATCCACACGTTAAACTTCAAAAGTCAGCTCAGTTCCAGTCACCTCATCTGAGAAAACACTCGACTTTAAATCTTACACCCACGCGTCAGGCAACAAATATGGTTTCTTAACGGGGCAATCGTGCTTTTCTCCCAGCCGCTGCTTTCCTGACATTCCTGTAACTGGACTGCTGCTGTGAGACCAGATTATCCCAAGAAAAAGCCTTCAGTACAGGATTACACTTTGTCCTCCTTCATTAGCATGCATAAAATGCAGCAAAACCGAATTCTCATTCCTCAAAGTCATTATGGACACGCAGCAGTAAATTGTAGCAAAATTTTAAAGGTTTTTGAACGCAGAGTCCTTGTTCGCCTTTGGTAACACAGAAGGAATAACACTGCACAATTTAAAAAAAAAAGGGGGGTGGGGAAGAGGAAAAATTTAAAATAGAAAGCAACCCTCACTGTGTACACAGACACATATTTTTGCTGGTTTTTTATTTAAGAAGGACCTTCAGTTCAGTTCATGGGTGCACGCTAGTTTCCTCGTTCAATGAGGGCACTGGGCACGTGGCTGGGGTGAGCCACCCGCCCCGCAGCACCATCCCCTCTCCCACCGAGGGCTGAAAAACCTCGCCGGATTAAGCTCTTAACGTTAGGCACCTCTGAAGTGTCTAAAGTTAGGCTGGATGAACACGAGCCAAGCTGTTGAACAGATGGAGTGAAATCCTTCTCTTGATAACAGGAACTTTGTATCACTGCCATGGATAAGAAGGGCAGCTAAAAAAAGTCAGGGAGGTAGTTATATAAATTTCAAGAAGGCTTACCAGCAATGCTTAAAGGTAAAATTGTCTGATAGATCTTGAATATCCACTTCCAGCTGCAGACCCTGAGCAGCCAAGAAGTTCTGCAACAAAAATGAGATCGTAACACTAGAGCTACCGCACTACGAGACCATAGGAACTGAACGGTGCAGCACAAACATGCAAAGCGTTAGGAAGCTGGAGCCTGGAGCACACCAGACCTCAAACCCAGCATCAGCAGTGGCACTTATCTTGAGTTCAGTGCACAAACCCAGCTGAGAGGCATGCGGGAACAGAAAGGTGGTTGACTGCCAGCAAATAACTAACCATCTTATTAATGCCAAAAATGCTACCACATACACTCACTCGCTCATTCCTCTTCGCTTACAGGTCTGTAAAACAGTCGTGCTTACAGCAGCTCTGATTCAATGTCTTTTTTTTTACCTTGCTTATTCATAGTCTTGAACATCTGCAAATTCATCTTCCTCATCTTAAAAATTACCTGCTTCCTTGTGTTTCATGTGTAACTGCGCTTCAAAAGATGTGCACCTCAGCACAGGATCCATTTTTCTTAATTAGCTGTGGATATTTTAGATGGAGTCAGATGGATGTGAAATACATTGGTATTATTTATTTTCAAGCATCAAAATCCTTCAGGTAGATATCTAAAATAATCCATAATGACTGGAAACTGGCTATAAAATGTTTCTTATAAAATGCTGTGAAGCAATTAGTTTCTTACTATATATGTTCCATGTCCATGCTGAAATGGGGAGCATATGCTGCATGCAATTTTGAGATAATGTTTACTTAAGCAGTGGAAGAGATCTGAACAATAAAGCAACTTTTCCTCTCCCTTTAAGTGCCTCATTTTTGGAGGAAAGTACACTATTACACTATTTCCCAGTCCCTTTGGGGAAGACAGGTGGATGAAGTGCTTTGAGCTTGGGTTGTTCCTTCCTCTCCCCTATTTACCTTCAAACTTTCTCCAAAAGTTGTAATTATTTAGAAATTGCAGAGCTGAAGCTATCAACGGATGCACGTCTGTGAAAGACAAAGCAGCAAAGACTATGCACAACCTTGTAATGCCATTCTCTTAAAGCAAAAGCATGGTTAGGGAAGTGACAGTGTGGTAACAGCCTCCTAGAGCAGGCTGCTTTCGGAGTCACCTTTAGTCATTTTGGTGACAAAACCCACATTTTTACTCCTTGTTATCTCTGCAGAGCACACAGCTAGGGGAGCCAGCGCTGCACTGTGACCCAATTAGTGCAGTCATCCAGTCACAGAGCTAAATCCTACGTTCAGCTATGACTAGAAAATCCTAGTGAAGATGACGTGAACGACACTTGACCCCACAGAATTTGTTACTGATGATGATAAGCAGAGCTAGCCTACGTTTATTTTGCAGATCCAAGCAGAATTTGGAGGGCCATGGTAAAAAATTGTTCCAAATTGGACATGTCTGAGAAATACTGAGTCACAAGCCTCAAGTGGCACAAGGTCATTTTTTCAGTTTCTTTTTTTTCAAAGCAAACCCTAGATTTTATTATATAAAGCACCATTGGCAACACTTAGAATATGCAGTCTTTTCTAGCAAAGCCCTTTGTGGCATGACTATCGGTTCGGTCTTAGAGAAGCTTGCAGATGCTACTGCTTCTACTTTAAGAAGAGAAATAGCTTTATGTTGCAAAATATTTAATTAATTTCCTGTTAAAATGAAAAGAAACAACAAAATAGTTATACAATTTTACTAGTTTATATTTCAATTCATAAAGTATACACACTGCAACTATGCTACCACAATGTCCACGCATCTAATATTGATGGAGTTACAGTATTTTTTTTTGGTATTAAACAACAGAGATAATGTATGCAGTTAAGGAAAAAAGCTTGGACATAGCATGTTCTATTCCGTAGTTACAGAGTACATTAGCTAGCATTAGTACAGTAAACAAGAAAAAGGTAGAAATACAAAATAAACCAAATATCTTTATATACAAACCAGTGCCTCTTATTGTTACCAGCTTATACTCACACTGCACACAAAATTTATCCACTGATGCAATAGATACTTCAGCATAACACAAACCATTATAAATTAAAAAAAAATACAAGGTGCAAAACTCCATTCTACAGCTTTCTGGTGAGAACTCAAGAGAATCCAATGAGTAAGAAATCCAAGCACGTTTAGCACCTATTAGTGCAACCGCATCGAGCGTGAAAAATGACCTACACAACCTCTGAACACGTTACCAGGGAAGCGAGTTGGATAGCTATAGATGCTCGCAGCTACGCTCACGCAGTGATTTTTGCCTCGTATATATCTCAGTTTATTGTTTCTTTGTCCCATTCATACCTATGTGCAAAACTAAATCCTGGAAGCTTTCTCAAAGCTTCACAGAAGGCCTGCTACAGCCGGGTAAAAACAAACAAACAAAAACAAAACAAAAAAACTGACAAAACCCCAAACAGACAGACTCAATTGAATGTCAGACAATCCACATAATCAGTACTTAATAGCAGTCCTGGTGTTGGGGATTTTAACGCTGTTGATATGTGGATCAAACAATATGACACAGAAGTGAAACGGAAATTTGCGAAAAATTCTCATTATTCTTGTCTAGCACTTCGACAAGTCTCCCAGCCTCAGGTTGTGAATTTGTTTGGCAGCCCATGCCAAAAAAGCCCAGAGTTGCATAGAATTGATTAGTAACAGAAAGAAATGCCAAACACAGAGAGATGGATGCTGCATCTACTAAAACAAAGTGGGGTTGCTCGACAGGAATGCTGAAATCATCCCCATTCATAAAGCAAAACATGTCACCTCCTACTCTCCATATCCTACCTCTGGGGACTGCTTTCTGGCACTGATGTAGCTCTTGCTAAAGTTGTCTTTTTTTGTTGTCTTTTCCTTTTTTTCTTTTTTTTTTCTTTTTTTTTTCTTTGACTTTGTTAGTGACACTTTTCCTTTCAAATAAAATATTAAAAAAGGTTATAACTGTAAAAAAACCTATCATATGTAAACTTAACAATTAGGGTTTGGTAAGTTCTCGTACCTAGTCTGTGAAAAGCCTCCAGCCAGACCGCAGAATGGAGTGTTTCTCTGAAGAGCTTCAATCTAGCTACATCACCTGTTAAATATCAGTAGTATGAAGATCCCATGTCTAGCAATAAAACCTTTCTTGTGTTTCCATCCTCTTTATCACTGACCTATTGAAATCCTGACATGCTGTGTTTCTATTTTATTTACATTCTGGTCCTCTCATGTCACAGAATTAAACATCTGGCCAAGGAAGGCAACAAAAGGTGTTGTGTTAAGAAGGTGTGTTTGACAGAACTGCTTTTCAACAAGTCTCTTTTCCTTGGACTCCAGTCACTGTTTTTATAGAGCTTATTGTTCTGTTGAACCATGTTTTCTTTGCAGCCTGTACTTCATTCAATGCCAGACCCAAATGGTGCTCCAAATCCTGCAAAGAGAAGAGTAACTTCATTAATTCGTTATGTATTCCCAGCAGAAGGTTACAGGAGTTAAATTTAGAAGGCTCTAGGACATCTACAATCTCTTGGCCACTTTAGAAGTTAAACAAGTCTTACATAAATTAAAAGTCGCACAACAAGCTAATGAATTAAAAAAAAAAAGCTTTGAAAAGCAAAACAAGACTTGTGTCATTGCCCTTGGTGAAACATTCAGCTTTCTTCAGTACATCCAAACCCTTTAATTCTTTCCCATCTGAGAAGGAGCTATTCCCACAGGAAGTGGACTTTCTACAAACTAATTTTTACCTTTCTGTGAACACAAAACGCTGACATACCCGTTCTAGGCTGAAAGAACAATGTTGGCATGTTTTACACAAATACCTCAAATACCTGGAGTGCTTTCCAATCATGTTTTAAGAAACATGTCTAACATTTGTCACATGTTACTACTTCATTTAACATTGTGAGATAAGGAAATGCATGATTCAGTACTTTGTCAGAGCTTGGATTTCTTCCAAGAAGTTGCAGCAGATCAGTCAGTAATACTGCTCTGCAGCCAGGCAGATGCCTGGAAGTTGTGGCAGCTGGTAAATACAGTTCATGCCATTTCAATTATTTTGTCCGCATACACTAAGTTTCAAACCTTAACTTAAACCTTATTTAACCACGTTTGGTTAAATAACCCATGCAGGAAATAGCAGGTTACAGTTTCAACCAACAGGATCTGTTCCAATCCCTCTACAACGCACCCATGTTTCTAAGAAGGCAGACATACCATACAGCCACAAAATGAACCTCCACAGCATTACCTGTATTTTACATTCTGCCTCCACAAGTTGCAACTTGGTCTGGGCCAGCTCAAGCTCCATTTCCCTCAGCTGGTTTTTCAGCGTTTCCTTCTCCTCATCTGTGTCCTCATCTGAACCATCCTTGGCAGAACTGGTAACCTTCACACGGCCTTCTTTATTGAAGAACTCCCGGCAATGCTCGCAGTCATCCACTTTTTGCTAAAGTAAATACCTGATTGTGAATGCTCGCATTGAAGGGCTGGTGATCTGATCAAAGCCTTTTCCTGCCTCTGCTCTGGAAGAGCAGCACAACACGAGAGGGACCACTAATGACTTGCAAACTCAGGGAAGCACAGCCAAGCAGGAACTCCTGCCACCCCCAGATTTACGGGCTCTGGAAAACGCTGCTGTAGTTTTGGTCAAACCGTGTTGCTACAGTAATGGGCTCTGTACTGCCCACATGTTACTTTATGGCAAGAGACAGCCAGAGAAATCTCCTCCAGAAACGACCACCCCTCAAAAAAATTAACAGTTGTTATTGCCCAGCATCGGCACTAGTACGTAACCAATATACCATGGGAGAGAGCTGGCAGTTATTCACCTCTTCTCCAAGATCTCCCCCTTACAATCTTCTTTCCAAAACTGTAAGTCACTAAGGAACTCCTTCAGCCACCATTTTAGTAGTGAAATAAACGTGTGCTTATTGTTATGATTTTGCTAAGATATTTAAACATTGTAGACTGTGGATCTATCTGGTCTCTTACCCGTATTTTCTCAATTTCAGCTTTATTTGCTGTTTGTTGCTTTTCCAGTCGCTCACTCAGCTGGGAACAAATCTGACAAGCAAAATTATGTTACCAGACCATTTATAAATGTAAATTTCCTCGCAAACAAATGCTAAAGCACAAATAAATGCTACAGGAATATTAACATGGATAGTCTGAGGGCTCTTAGAAAGCCAGGAAAATGGGGACGCTGCATTAACTTGTCTCATTGTACATATTCTCATTCTCTACATATTCTTCTATGCCACTGGAAAAAGTGCAGTTTCAACAGAAGTTATTAGCAGTTTGGCCTTGCTAAAGGAACCAGAAAAGGTTGGGAATAGCATGGCGCTCTTTTGTCACCTTTGGGATAAAAGAGCCAGGCAAGACAGCCGGAGTAGAAAAAACCAACCCAGTTGATTGCTCGAGACCCGTGTGATGCAGACTTAAGAGTGTTTTCAAGGTTACGTGCCCACTAAAAAGATGCACGAATTTGCTCCCTTGATACCTTATGATCAGGAGCTTGAATTCCAAAGCAAACTCTTTGAAAAGAAAAAGGCACCTTTTTTATTTAAGTGCAGTTACCATTTGATTGAAGAAGGGAAGCTGGGAGAGAACACTTTTTGGGAATGAGGTGAACTTTTGCTATACAAGAGCCCTTTTGAACAATGTTAGGCTGTAATCGAGGCTGTGGTGACTGATGATCTACAAATACCCACATCAGGGGCAAACAGAACTGACCACCCAGCATCAGAATCTCAACAAAAGAAAACACAAAACCAACCACAAGCTTCCCATTAAAAACAGCTAAAATGTCTCCTCAAATGCATGGCACAGATTACATTTATTTCCAGAAATCTCCTAAAAAACCCTGAGAAAGTCTTGCAATGTGACAGCAAACCACATTGTCATCAAGTTGTACTTACCTGTTTGTAGTCACCAATAATAGAGCTGTTCTTTTTGATCTCTGACTCTGCCTTATCGAGTTCCCTACGACACATTTCCTTCAGCTGCAGGAAAAAAAAAAAAAAAAGTAAAGGGTTTATATATTTGTAAAACCTGAAAAACAACCAGGTGATATTTCCTTCTCCTCCTTAAGCTCACTGCTGTACTCTACACCAGGGAACAGTGGTCTAGCTCAGCTCTGTGCAGACAAGGAAAAGCTGGACTTTGATGGCCATCATTGTTAGAAAAAACTGACTAGCTGCGAGAAGAAAGTATTAAAAAAAAGTGCTGACAGCTGACGTCCTATACTGCCTCTCTGTGCAGCAATCTCTGGCACAGTCTGTGCCTTTGTGATTTCAAGTTATAAATTCACTACCCTATGAAGCACCTGGCAGGAAAGCGAAGAATTCTGCTTTGCTGACGTCCTTTACACTACAGAAGAGGGACAAACATGACTTAGAACACTAAACCCTTCCCACACTTACCACTTTTTTTCTTTTTTTTTTAAATTTCTGTACTGCACAGAAACGTGACAATGACAGAAATGCCCCTAACCTGAGCTGACTCTTCTTCTAGGCGCCTCTTTTCTTCTTCTGCATCAATCAACTTCTGTTTGGTCATTAGCAGTTCCTTATTCAGAGCATCTGCCTTTTCCTCCGCCTGAAAGACAAAGAGGGGAGTGCGGCGCTGAAGAGAGGCGTTCCTGCTGTGCCAGGGCTGGTGGGCAGCCACGGGCACAGGCTCCCGCAGGACGCAGCCAAGACTGCGGTCTTTTCAGTCTTATTAATAAGGGTCTGTTCATTGTTACTAATGACGATAAAACTTTATTCTGAAAATTATTTTTCTAAAAATTACCATCTGCAACGGCAAAGCAGCAAAATGAAGGCCGTATACCATAACACTCCCATCACTCCAAACCTCCTCCTCGAATTCCGTGATTAGTTTTAGCAAAACTGGAGTAGGGATTGCACCGAAGAAACCCAGTAACAGAAATATGTTTCGTTTTCTCATCCAGACTGGAAGCCGACCAATATATTGAAGACAACAAAAGGCACTGAACAGCTCGCAATGTGCAGGATCGGTAAAAAGACTATAACCAGCTTAGACCTAAGTTCAATTTGCAAACACGCGATGAAAACAGAATTAATGAAAAATGCCTCTAGAACATTTAAAAAAAACCCCCAGAATTCTGTGACACCTACCAATGGATGTGATACCATCTTTATTATGTCACCCAGAAAATACTGCATGAAAAAACTGCCAAAACAAACCTAACAGTCAGACCTCTCTCTCCTTTCCTCCTTAAAGGAAAGAGATGTCCCACCAGAAACGATATAATCCTCTTTCACTGCAGTTTTTTAAGAATAAGGATGTAATTGATGAAAAATCTTGGGCTCTTTATAAACCTCTAAAAACTCTCTCTGCAAAGTTAAGACACCTTTTCCTGTCTTACACGTGGCAATGCAGTACTTCCCAATAGGTGTATGAATTCTACGTAAAAATAGATCAATAACTCAACTGATATCTAAAATCTTCAGAAAGTAGCTGTACCAATTCCCTTCAAAGGAAGAAAATCAAAAAGTGAATTTTAGTCCCTTAAAGTCCTGCTGATCCTTTAAAACAGATGGCAAAGGCAAAGAGAACATCTTTTCATTATACATGGTTTTTAAGCTGTTTTAAAGTTAAAGAAAACTGGGATGTGGGAGTGCAACAACAGTAGAAAAATGAAGCCTATTTTCTGGTCTAATGCAAAGGCTATTACGGAAATTCTTGTATTTCCAAATGCTTTGCTTTGATCTTTTAGGTTGCAAGATTTCAGACATGCCATGAAGGTATTAGAAAAGGTGTGTTAAACAATGTCCTTTGGTACTTTTCTTTCAGGACACTGGCTAGTAGAATGAAACTTATCATTTCAGGATCCAATTAGAAGAATTAATCAGGGTCCTAAAGCAGGATCAGACCTACCTATCTCCTCCTGGGGGATAACCCCAATGCTGCCAACATCATTTACCCTCTTTGAAGGCATGACTATTATACACCCAATGAGGTATCTCAAAGGTTTTGTTTAATTTTGCTCCTGTCCCAGCTCTCCATTTAAACCGATCAATGTAAAAGCATTCCTGTGTCTCACACAGGCTCAAGCAGCCACAAACACCAGTTAATAGCGGATACAAAAAGCTTCTTCAGTACGTTTTTTGCTGCAGTCCAGCCCGAGTGCAAGCGCTGGGCAGTGTGCACAGCCTTCCATGAGCTGTTTGTAATGAAGGGAAAAGGCGCTGGCAAGAGGAAGTGGACACGCCAATGCGTTGTGAAAACCCTGCTTCCAGAACATATGGCTGTGATCCACAGGTTTTAACACTAAAGAGCAGTAAACGTAATAAACCTGAAAGTCATAAACCAAACCTCATTAAGAGCAACAGCCACCCATCAGCATCAACATTTACTATGAATATTTTTCCAACAGCAAGTTTCCAGGAGACCGTGGGAAACCTTAAATTCTCTGAAGCAGATAAGCTGAAACATTTCAAAGCCTGTCAACTCCTGCACTGTATGATTTTTAGAAGTCTTTCTCCTTTGAGATTTCAGAAATGCACTTATCTTGGTACAGAACAAGAATGGCAAAACATGAGCACTTGAACTCTTCCCCTCGTGTCCCCAAGCACACAGACTAAGTGCGTTCTAGCCTGCCACACACACACCAAATGCCAGTCTCTTTCTGTCTCTGCATGTCCTGTTAAAAAAAGCATATCCTAATAAAATCTCCCAAGCATGAGTATGTAAAGAAGGGAATGGGACAGCAAGCTTAAAAAAAAAAAATTCCTGTAACAAAGCAAACCTGAAGTTTCCTCCCGGGAGCTCTACTGATAGGGGAAACAACCCAGGATGATGAGTTCACATGGGCAGATTTCAACAAGCCAAATGGAAACCACAATAACATTTTCAGAGTTGCCTAAGGCACCTGAGAATCTGATTCTACCGAGAGCCAGACAGACTCAGACTTTCAAGTCTATTAGGCACTTTACAAAAGCCTGTCTGCTGTGAAATCTTATTCATAAGAAATACCAGTTGAAGGAAAACCGAATACAGCATCCATGTCATTACCTCGGTGACAATTCCATTCTAGCTCCTGTTAGACTTCTAATAAACATGGAGAAGAAAGTGACTACTCAAGTACAGGCTCAGAACCTCTCCTCTGCCTCAAATTACTCTGAACGCTTTTCAGGGTAATTACTACTTCAATCACCAGTCCCGTTTCCCACAGACCTCCGACACAGGCCTACATACCATCAGTCTGCAATCAGGACATGGAGGAAAGCACCCATTCCACCCAAATAAAAACCACTCTATGTGTTTCCTCTCCAATGAGAGGAGTAACAAGGAATTAGCCCTAGTACCTTGTCTCCATAGGCACATAAAGACATGTCTTACGTTGTCTAAATCTTTTCGCAGAGCAATCTTGCTGGTCACCAGCTCATGGGCAAGATCATCGTTTTCTTGCTCAAGCCTCATGTTTGCTTCTTGTAGGCGCCGGTTCTCACGCTGTGGGAAACAAAAGAAATCAAGTAAAAGGTCCCCCCAGATCTATGAAACACAACACCTGCTGTGCCTAAGCACAAATGCCTACCTTATATCTTAAGTATGCAAAGAGAACTCTACCTGCATGAAATTCAATGAGGACAGAACTAGCCAGCCATATTGTAAACATGAAGTAAACAAAATATTAGCCTTGAGAAGAAACCACGTATAAATAACTCTGCTCAGCTATTACTTGTTGAGCTACAGAAATGTTTTTGAAGACTGCAATAGTAGAAGTATCATTCTGCCATCAATCCCTTGCCAGGAGGTTCCTACAATTACTGATTTTCTTGGCTCAAAATAGAATTTGCATGCTGAAAACAAGTGATAAGAGGAGGATCCTGGGAAAACCACCTTCTCTTCTCCCTCCTGTTACAACTCCCACCATACAGGCAGACATTAAAGAAAGTTTACATAAAACTCCTCAGCTTAAAATACACGAATTTATGTGTGTGTGATTGTGTTACATATATGCATACGTAATTTTACATATAAAATTTATTCCTATATTATATTTAAGTAATAAATAAAATATTACTTAACCCTAACATACATAATTCGAAATTAGGGAGAGGAGTGAAGGCAGGATTATAACCAGTGGAAGGCAGAGTTATAATCAGTTAGGCATTTTCCTTCTGTTCACGGCTTTTGGTGCAATCAGCATGTTACGCAAGTGCTAGAAACAGGCTCTAGTGAAACAGTTGTGTAAGCCCAGATACAAATTCATACTACTCCTTTTTTTCTTGGTGAAGCTGGGCTCACCACCACGCCATCCTGATTAACACTGCCAATATACAGAGATTCGCTTCATCTTCATGTAGCTGATTCCCCTGTTGTATCCAAAACTGGTCACAAAGCAAAAACAGCTCAAAGCAAAAGAGTCAAGGTCGGAACTCCCTGCAGGTACTGTGTGTTACATCAGGCTGGAGTAGGTAAGCGTTACCTCAAATCTTTCTATAGGATCCTCCTGTTGAGCTTGCTGCTCTCTCATGGTATGATACTCCTTTTCATATTTCTTCAGCTTCTTCTGGCTAATCTAAATTAAAGCAGCCCATTAGTTCCTGCCCAGAACATCAATAAAAGAACACAATTCACAACGGGTTATGGTAAAAGCTTTAGGCAACTCCTGCCTTCTACAAAACACAGCTAATATCTTCACTCAGATTTGCGTATCAAACCCTTAGAGATGGTAAAAAATTCTCTTCCACTCAATATAGCGACAGAAGCGTTTCTTCCTCTTGTCTTTTTGTGGAACATAGAAAAGTTTTTGAAAGGCACCACAGGAGCATCCTGCCCGAGTTTTCCTCGGTGCTGCACAGCTATCTGATGCTCCAGATACTACAGTGGCTTGGCATAACAGATTGCCTCAAAACCCACAAGATGTGTTTAATTTTTGAACTAGCACGATGCTGAGGTTTCTTCAGCTGCTTCTTCAGCTGTAACATTTATCATCACGCAGAAGTATTTGGTTTACTTTACATGAGACTGCAAATGCTGAAAGGGCAAGGGCAGGCTCAGCTGACATTTCTGCTAGTGTCAGTCAAGCTCGGTAGAAAACAGGCCAGTCCCAGAGCTGCCTAGGTGTCCCGACAAGCAGCAGCAACTCAGAAGCACGTATGCTCTGGTCCCCTGCTGCTCTGGGATTCGGAAGGCTGGAATTTTGTCCTGGGCTCTGACAGACACAGAACACCAGGAAAGTGACTCTCTCAGGGTCCAGGTTTCCCCTTCTGTGAGAAGGGAGAGAAAAGCGGTGATGAATTCAGTATTTTGCACAGTGTTCAAGTCCTACGGGGACACAGAACACAAGAGAACCTGTAGCAGACCCTGACCAGCATCTTTCCTGGTGTCACCTGTGCCATATGCTACAATGGTTTAACACCACAGACTGTGCCGAGATCACTGAGTGTTTCACTTGCCAGTTACTATGCATCTAAACTAAATCTCTAGTATTAAAAGTTGCCGTTGAACCTTTATTACTATTTCAGTAAACCAAATAAATGAAAAAGCTATAGCTATGTTTTTCTCCTTAAAAAAGCCTCATCTGAGAAACACATTAAACAAATTTTACACGCACAAACGACAGGCAGAATGGAAACCGTGCTTAGCTTCTTTTATCTTTAGTTTTATCGTTAACAACCTTGAAATAAACTGCGGAAAACTGGTCGCTAGGCTCCCTCTAGTGAGAGCTGCCCGGAAACATTTCACCGTACTTCAGCTGACATTTTTTTGGAGATGCCAGCCCATTTATCTGGAGTCAGTCCAGCCACATCACAACTGCAGAAGTTATTCTTACTAAGCACTCCAGACAAATACTCAGAGTATTAACCCTTTACTGACAATGAATCCAATAACTTGAGTAGGTTATTGCACAGCTCTTCCCCTGCTCAAACGCTGCCCAAATTGCTGGGTTTCATACACCAAATCTCAAGCTACGTAAAGGTTAGATCTTGAGAAGCGAGGCATGTGAGAGGAAAGGAAGGCAGGCACGCTGTTATATTTTCATCTTCTACTTCTCCAAGTGCATTAAACCATTTTTGCCTTTAGATACCAATAACGAGGTGATCCTGAGAAGATTTGCTAGTGTCACCGATTCTGGACTCTGGAGCCCTAGGAGTGCCCTGGGGAAGTCAGCACGGCCTTTGAGTCTGCATGGTGACAGAAAGCAGAAATGAACACTGAAGTCCCACCACAATTTTTCAGGAGCAGAGGAGGCAGCAGCAACCCTGTTAGCATTGGATGGCAACATTGAGGAGCGACTTTAAGAATGTAGTGCTGTCTCAAGCCGATCATTTACTGACCTCCTTTCCCGCAGAATGCTGTTGTAATCACAATGCCTTAGTCAGGCTACTTCTCCCTTCCTATAAATGATTTATTTTGACATCAGGCCCTTTTCTGCTCAAAAACACTTCCACATGCAGAGCCAGAGATTTCTACTGACAAAAACCAACTTCCATTTTAGGTCAAAGCAAGCAATTCTGTGCGGCGCTCCCACCAAGGGCAACGCACACGGCTGCGATACAGAGGTGTCCAGCACCTGTGCAGAGCTCAGTACCGCAGTCTGTACTTCCTCCATAACCTCCCACTGAATCCCCCCGAAAACACACAGCACGCAAGGAAGCAGGGGACAGCCTTGCCGTGTACCGCTCAGGGAAGACTGTTGGCGTTAACCACCTCACTGGGAGCGCAGGGACTTTTGGCGGAGCGGGAAGAGGAGCAAGTTGTTACTCAGAAACATGAAAGGCAAACGCGCTCATCACACATGATCTTAACCAGATGCATGTGCAACATGTGACTAATGTTAAATAACTGGAGAGCTAAAATAGCTTGCTTTATTCATGGTTATTCCGTAATTTCCACGCTAGTTTCATATAAGATGCTTGAGCTCCATGCAGAATACTGTTACACGTCCCGCTGCTACGCCAGCAGTACAGGATGCCTTGGCTGCTAACATACTAGGGAGGTTGTGTACCTATGCTCTGATGCAACAAAGAATTCCTCTGGTGAATTTTAAGGAAAAAGGATATTTTGAGCCACACCAGTGTATCTGACTAAAAATTAATCTAGATGGAACTGTAAAGAAAGAATCACAGCTTCCTTAAAATACACTAAATAAATTATTAAAGTTCCATTTTAGAACTCAATTGCTACAATTATAAAGAGGAATCAATAACTTCCTAACTGTAACTTTTTTTGGAAATTTCACTTCAAGGGCATAATTATTCCAAAGTGCCCGTATAAAGCCTTAGTTACAATATTTACTGATTAGAAAAGCAATTGACTTTCAGCTGCGAGGTAACGCAGTATTTGCTATATATAACTGAAGTCTTAATGTCAAAGGCTAGAACTTTTATTTCATATAGTTATATTTAAGAGATAGGGCTTAGTGGGCAACTGAAATCTAAAAAACCTCCACAATCAAGCAAAATATCCCTCCACTGTCTACCTCGGTAGTTCAAACACGCAGAAGCGCTCATAGAGCGCTCTGAATAAATTCTATTAAGAAAACAGGAATTACTGACATTAATTCACTTATGGGACAGCATCTCTCCAGCCTACAGTACACACCGAACTCTAGTTTCTGTGTTTCTATCCTGTTCAAAAGGCGGCTCCTATAAGGACCAGAAATGACATTTTACTGGTCTGTATATGACAGAAGTCTAGTACTTCCTAAACATTGACTGTACGAACAGTTAATCAGTGATTTGGGGGAGAAGTCAAAGAGCTGTGACGACCACATTAAAAGCCTGTCTAGATTAGCCTGCTGGTCTCCCACACCCTGGCAGAAAGCAGTAGGTACTTACAGTGTCTTAGCACTTGTTTCCAATGCCCAAAAGAAAAGCCAAGGTGGCAGCCAATACTGTAAACCTCCCACACAGGCTGCTCATGCAAAACAATGCCTTTTTGCATTATTAAAAAAACTTCAGCTACCTGTGGCAGCTGTAGACAACACACAACTCAGCCAGCACTTTGTTCCACTTCATACAAAGTAGACCCTCTTTAGACTACAAAGATCGTAACAGATTGACCTGTTACTGTCAGCTACCTAAAGTACAAGTGAAAGAGTCTTGAACGGGAAACTAAACCACTTTTTGAAGCAGCAGCATACATCCCCCACCATAAAGCAGTGACAAATCAAAACCTCACACAGGGAATACACAAACCTCAGGGTCATTTCCCTACCTTGACTTGTAAGAAATTTTAAATGCCAAATCGTATTCCTTCATGCTCCTAGAACATCTGTAAATCTACCAATGCATTTTTAATGAGCTCCCTAATGCAGCAGGTAAACACATGCATCCACAATTAAAACTGGCCATTTTCTGTCTGAAAGGTTACATTCTGTTTCTGCATTATCTACTCTGTTTTGAATGAAACCTCCTCACTGTCTCTTGATGAAAGGTACTACCCTGTTTGCAGCTACTACCGGCGAAAGAACTGCAGAAATGTCAGCAATTATTTTATATTAGTGCCACTAATCATTTAACTTTTTTTTTTAAGTAGTCTGATTTTTATTAGCACTGAATATGGGTTTCTGAAAGCCACTCTGGTTTTGAGTTCTCTGGGTGGGCCTGTATCACTCAGCATCTTAGGGCTTTATTGTAAAGCAGCTGCAATGCATTTGCATTTGGATAAGCGAGTTGCAAAGTTACGCGTGGAGACAGAACTTGTACCCATTACAGACAGGCATGCAGTTGCTTTTACCACATCCTTACCTTCATATTACATGCTAATTCCATCAGCTTTTTTGCATTTTCTTCTGAACGATACCTCTTGGGCAGCTGTACACGGAAGAATTTTAAAGCCCCTTCAAAGTCAGTCAGTAACAAATCATCCCTCGTAGTCTGGAGACAAGGAAAGAAAAGCCAGTAACTGCAAAGCAGGTTTTGTACAATTACTGAATTCCCAGAGACAATAAAGCAACAACAGTTTTGTAAAGCTCCAAGGACAAAACCACTTTGTGACCTTCTGCAACTGTCTATTCCCCCCCCCCCCCCCCAAAAGCACTGTGCTGTACAGGGCACGCCAGACAGCAGCACACGTAGTACAGGAAGCTGTTAGCTTTTCAAAGAAAAAGCACAGTATTTTTGTAACAGGCATCTTCATTTTGTATATAGTGCATGAGGATGCATAAACCACAAAGTAACACTCACTTTTAATAATCCCAGTGCAACGTTGAAGATAACGCTTATTCCCTAGAGAGAAAAATAATGACAAAATAAATTAATTTCTCAGTATTTACAAGCCTGGATATTAATTTATTTGGTGGGTTTTGTTGTTTGTCTAGTTTCTGTGAAAAGGAAAAGCAGGATACAAGTGTAACCAGGTGCTATATTAAATCACAGGCCCAGAGAATGACTTTGCAAGCAATTAGGAAACTATCTTCACTGTACAGCCATTACAGATAGCAACACAGTGTTTCAACACAGGTTTTCCCATCTCCTTAGTAGTCTGAAATGATGAAGGCACTGTGGTGCACTTTATTTTATAATGGCTAGTTGGCCAGCTCAAGAAAATTTCATTTTCATATAACAACTTCTGAAAACACTGGATTCAAATGCAGCAATATATACATCAATATATTGAGCTCTATTGAAGTTATATTAAGGTATTAAAAACCTGGGATAATTTGTGTAATGAAAAAGAAAGTGACTCACTTTAGGACAGAGTCCCTCATCATCTATTCTGCCACTACTCACTAGAAGTGTTTTATTTATACTGTCCAATTAATTACGAAGAGTTCCTCTAGTCAGTAGTAGCACATACCTTCTTAAGGGGTAACTTTGATAATCAAGACACGTTGCTCATCTTATTTCAAGATTCTTTCTTTCCTTTTCACACTAAATTATTCTTTCACTTTTACTTCAAAATGATAAAAACCCCTTAAAACTTCACTATGAACACAATTACTATTTATGAATTGAAAATGTGTTTCTAAACAAATAGAACTGATTTTCTTGATACCATCTGTTCCTTTCTATTACATGGGCACATGGACAAAGCCAGCAGCAGACAGATACAGAGAAAGGGTAAAACCGTTGACCAGGAGATTTACAAACGCTGAAACCCTTCATTAAAGGAAATGCAGACAAACGGCTACTTCACGGTAACAACTGCAGATCCAATGAAGAATGGATGCATAATGTTAAGCAGCAGGTAAAAAAGCAAATCATTAAATAATTCAAGGATATTTCAGTACAAAATGTGATTTGTTCACTTACATTAATAAGCTCTGACTCAAATTACGCTACTAATCAGCATGCTGCCAAACGTACTGTTCTAAACATGATTACATACGAAATCTCAACGTAAAGAATTTTGCTCTCTAAATATATGCTGTGAAGTGTAAAGAGACTTCAGGTTTCCAGGAGAAAGAGTTCCAAGCTTGTTAGATTACCAGCAGGAGTTAGCTGGGCAATTTTATACACAATGGCCTCCATGCAATAACATCCTAGAAAAAAATTAAGTTATCATTGTGTATAATACAATTTAACAACAGAGGAATCCACATGTTTGTAAATTAACTCTCATCCCATGAGCACTGTACAGAATCTCACATAGATTCAACAGTGTAATAAGAAATAGGAGATTATAATCCTGTATATATATATATAGACTCAATTTATATCTTTAAAACGCTGAGAACTCTTTCTCATCACAGAAACATAACACTTCTACATAAAAATAATTATCACATGCCTAGCTCTAAAAGAACAGATAGTAACAAGGACATGGATCAAGATAGTGAGAACCTGTCAAAAGTTGCTAGCAGTACAAGTCTCCAATTATAACACATACCTCACATAGGAGTAAGTCAATAATATGGAAGACCATGTAGAGAGGGAATTTTGCAGTGAACAGGGTAAGGAACCACTGGGAAGCATACATGTGCGCTTCAAGGCTAATGTCCAGAAAGTGGTTATACAGATCAGGAATGTATTCCTAGTGACAAAAAAAACACAGAAGTACTGAGAGTTAATTTATACTGTTTCAGAACTGTAGCTGAAATCCCAAAGTGAGAGAAGGAAGCAGGGTAGAGTGGCAATCAGTGCAGCAAGGCAGGCTTCTGTATCCAGCCATGCCTGACACGCCAGAGGACCTACCACGGGTGCTGAAGGCTTGCCGTGATGCGGATGCTCAGAAGGACACTGCACCACATGCCCAAGGAGCCCACCCTCCGAGCTCTCACCTCACAGGAAACCCAGGCAGTGGATGTGCTGACACTGCAAAGCCACTCTGCGACGGGCCTGCAGCGAGCTCGGACGGCACTGCTGTGCCAGCCCCGACGCCAGCCACTCCGCTGGCCAGACGTGTCTGCCTTCAAACCCACCGCACGCTGCCAGCGGCTTCAGGCTGGTCTCGGGTCAACATTCTCTATTCCTAAAAACCCTCCAATATGGACAGTCCTCACCCTTCACCCTTACCGCGAGGTCACAAACACTACTGACGTAAGAGATAAATGGCTAGTTTGGACTTGCAGGCTCTGATCCACTCGCTTCACACAGGTTTGAACACCCACCTGCATGAGGCGCTCCAGCTGATAGAACTTGCAGTGCAAATCTTCAAAGTTTTGTTTGAAAAGTTCCCTGAGTCCATAATCAAACATGATTTTGACCAGAACACTAAAAGCTTGCTCCTCGGGCATCTGTGAGAGAGGAAAGTGTATTTACCACAGAGCATTTCAATCTTTCATATCAGTTCCATTTGCTCTTGCCTTCCTTCTCCTCCCTCTTACAGAAAGACTAAATCGTCACCACTTTTGAATCTGGCCCTATCCAGTTCAAAAGTAACCAAGAATATTAACACACAAAATGAGGTCTAGTGTTGCAAATGGCATTTCATTCTTGTTCTGTGGAATAAACCACCTCTCAATCACTCGACTGAAATCAGATCTTTCAGATATCAAGACCAAAGCAGTTTCTTGGTGGTTTTGTTCCAAATCATGTCAGAATCAGAATCTTACAGATTTTGAACAGCCTGACCCTTTGTCACCTATGTAACTAAGACAAAAGCAGTATTACTAGAGGAGGTGAAACAGGATCTTTCCCTTATTCTTAACGATATATTTACCTTTTTAAATGACATTATCACATTCGATGTTTATTTATTAGATGGCATGAATAAGAGACCAGTAACTGCTAACAGAAGTTCTACATCACAACTCTGCACTGGTTTGGGAAAATTCAGTATCCCTTTCCTGCCAAAAACTGAAGAAACGCTCATCAAAGCTCATCAGTGTTTAGACATTTTTCCCTGATACCAGAATTCAGTTTTCATATTTCCATAGTAAAGTCTGTCTTCAAGTCAATCACTTGTTCCTGTAAAAGGCAGAACATCCATCTCAAATATTCTCTTATTAATCTGCAGATGGAGTCTGTTAAAACTGAAAACTTTGCTGAGATATTCCAAACTGGTAGTGAAGGACTTGCAGAAACTTAATTTCCTTTTCTGCAACATTTCTTTTTAATATTTTTTTTTTTCCCCAGCAGCCACACTCCAAAGGCTGACTTCAAAGAGAATCAAATAAAAAGAAACTTACTTGAAATTTAGCCTTTTTAAATGCATACATTATTCCCAGAAGCAACAGCTATTATTAAAGAAAGAACTCTAGAATAACACATGGTTCATTCTTGACAGTGAGTCTCTCTAATGCAATAGATATTAAAAAAAAAATGGACAAATGACAATGAAAAAGCCAAAGGAAAGCATATATATTTCAGTAAAAGTGTTCGGTTCTATAAGAAAGTATCACCCTTCTTGATCTGATTCAGTGTAGCAATAAAGAATTAATTGTCCCTGAAGTAAATACTTCAGATTACAGTTACAAAGAACTAAAAGCTCATTATGAATCATTTTGATTTTGTTTCAGAAGAATGGAGTTTACAATCTCTTCTATAGCCTCCACTGACTTTACAACATTATGGAAAATCCTCCGCTGAAGACCAGACTTCCTCTTCCACTGGAAACCCCAGAGAGGCATTCACTCATACTTAGTTCTCGATGGTAGCAACGATCACTAAAGAGCAGCTGGGGAAAAGAAATCTCCAAGCACTACTGGGCTTAGGAACTCTGTTCAGTTTCAACTACCCATGCTTGCAATGGAAACACTGATAAAAAGCAGATGTTACTTCAAAAAAGCACACTGTAGAAATAATTTGTGCAGCTTTCTAATCCTCTCCTATTTCCCAAGTGTGAATCTAAAACTTTTGCTGCTGATATACCATAAATCTCTCCAGCTTCTGAACACACAAGCAATTAAAGGATATTACTCTGATGAGATCACTTCTAACAACCACAATTAAGTTCAAAAAAGCGTAACTTGGTATCTTTTAAAAATATTAAAAGCAGCAGCACAGAGGCCCACAATACAGTAGCCCACGTAGGCAGCACGTTGTTCAAAGCACTGAGACCTAATCAACTGACATCCCATCAGTGTCATCAATACACTTCTGTGTATACAAGACATATGGCAATTACCATCCATATTACTGACTGAAATGTCTCTAGAAAACTTAAATCCGACCTTGAAACCCTTTAACAGAAACATTTACAGTGTTGTCTTGTACACAAATTCCATGCCTACTAGTGAGCACGAGTACAAGCCTGCAGAGGTTTGAATGGAAGGGGTCCTGAAACAGAAACACAGGGAAATGAACGCTGACTGTAGACAAAAGGCACTACGAATACCACAGTAACTTTCAAACAGCGTACTCTTCTGTCTAAAATCACATTATTATTGACCAACACATAAGCGGGTATGCGGCCTGCAACCCTACTAGTTCAGGAGTCACCAACGTTTGTTCGAAGCAAGTAGAGCAATATTTATGTTTAAGCTCAAAACAAATGGGGAAAACCCCCCACACTTACATGTAGAAGCAGCACAGCAGCAAGAAACGACTGGCCTTGACAGTAGCCAATCTCTTCATCATAGACAGAGTAGGCCTAAAAAAAGAATCAAGACTTTACAGCGTATCGGTAATACAAGCTACCAAAACCAGCTGAGCAGAATTTAAAGAATACCTTGCATATTTTGTACAGGGAGTCCTGGCCATCTCCCCCAGTATCTTTAAAATAATCATGAGCAGGGAACGTTCGATTGATGTCTCGGGTGATGGCACTGTCTTGCGGAGACTCCTATTAGAAAAAAATAAAAATGTAAATTAAAACACCTCAAAAGAAAATAAATTACAATATGCTAGGACTGAGAGCTCGAAGATTGGCATTGTGTTTTGTGCACTGCTCTAAATTTAACAAAACACAGTCTACTCAACCAGAACAGGCTGCCTGCAGGCTGGCAGCTCCAGATCACAATCTTGATAGATTTGGTTACCTAAGCACATCTGGGAACAGTCAGTGAGTGGCAGAAAAAGCACAGACACCGAAGTGTTCCAGGACATTGCAATGCAGATAGCAGCCTTCCCTCGGAGACTTCTGAATGCAAATACTGCCCAGTTGTGTTTCTTTTATCTCTCAGCTGCGGAGACTGGAAGCAGCTCCGTGCTGCTGTCCAAAAGTTCTGTCCCTCAGGTTCAGTCAGAGAAACCACTCTTCATCCCCTCCACGGGATTAGACAATAGAAAAGCACAAAACTGAGCACGAGCCCAAGAAGGACCGGACCGTACAGTTAAACGTT